CCTAATCGCTCTATGTGCAGATGCAAAGAAGGGGGTATAATATAAACTGACTTTGAAACTATTACGTTTTTCATATAACTTTTCATTCATCTTATATGTGGAGGTCATTCTTGGCCATATATGTTACTGTTTATTAAAACTACTTCAGTTCCTAATCAATTCAAAGCCGTTCCACGAAGTGTAATTGTTTCGATTATTAATTTCTTTCATTGAATACAGGATCCTTAGCAGTACATTTAGTCCTAAACACAGTATCGTCCCAATATAGCACTAAATTAATTGGTTATTAACTATATTGGGAGGCTACTATATTTAGGAGCAAAAGTGTTGACTTGTCTCAGAGGATGTCTTTTATTGCAAGCCTGCTAGGCACGGAAACTCTGACAGGCTAAATTTAGAAATCAGGTAAAAAGCTAAAGTTGTTTGTTTTGAAAATTAATGGTTTTATCGGGGTACCCCAACATTCTTTATCAAATTTGTAGATTTGAACATATTTAATGTCTCATCGATTAATGCGAATAAAAATGAAAAGTTTTGTTTCTATTTAACTGACTAGCTGAATTTTTTCCTTCGGTTATCATAAAAAATGGAATCTTTTATTTCTATTTAACTATCTAGTTGAATTGTGTTTCCTTAGGCTATCATTCAATAAATTAAATTTTATTTTTTAGAAATGTTTTTCCCTACACTCTTGTGATTTTTCTAAAACTGTGCCCTTTATTTTTATTGAAACTATAAGTGTATGTCCAAAGTCCGATTTTAGAAATTAAAGCTTGTTATTATGTTTATATAGTATCCTGTGCTCAGTGAATACTAAAATTAAAACCATTTTGAACAAAATGCATATGGAAATAAAACAGTTTTTTAAGTTTAAATTATGGATTTTTCTCAAATATTATAAAAAAATGGGTTTTGCGGAACAGAAATAGCGACAACAGATGCATTAAGCTTTGTTAAAATATATATTTTTGTACCTCAATCTAGAAACAAGTATTGACATATTTCAAAAGAACAGTTTACCAGTTTACAAGAAAACCTGTTTTGGCTGCATTGTCAAATAAATTTTCTACTCGTCTGTTTGCAATGTAAGTGTCACTTTTACTCAAGCACTAAAAAACTGGAGAAGAAAAAAAGCGCTCTTTATTGAGGGTTTAAAATGAAGAAGCTTTGGACAAAAAGAAGGTGAAATTTATTTTGTTTATTGTACATATTTTGGTCGACAAATTAAAAATTGTGATGACCTGATATCACGAAAAATTATTTTTCTCAACATTGCAACCTGAATTCCATTGGGTGAAACTTCAGAAACATTACATTTTCAAACACAAAAGTTTTGAATTATTTTTATCTGGGTTCAAAATATTTCTGCAAATTCAGAAAGACACCAGAGTTTTAGCTTTTTTTCCTCAACTGCTAGAAAATGCAAAGAGTGTTTGAAAAGACATAACATACACTGCAGATAATAAAGCTGTTAACATTTTACATTATTCCAAAACTTTCTTAATTCAGTAGCAAATGTTTCTACTCAACACCGCCTGAACGTTAGGCTAACATGTTTGTCCATTTTAATTATAATGCGCTACAAAATATGTCAAAAATATCTCATTTTTGAGACTTAATATTTCAACGATTCATTTTGATAACTGTACGTTTCGATTCAGAACATTTTCTGTTAGATAACTGAAAGCAGGAAATACCGGACATTCGTATTCATTTGGAATTTCTCGGTAACGAGACTATCCAGTCACAGTCACAATCACATCACCTACTCAGAGTAAAATTACATTTGTCTGACAGTGAAGAAAAAAATTTCCTCCAGCTGCTTAAAAGTTTTGGATGGCTCTGTTCTTGAAGAACTTATGCACAAACAGGATGCTCTGTATTCAAACCCTACTCGTGGATTCACCCTAGACAGTAGAACGTTTAGCGGAAACTGACTGTTACATCAAACTTTCCAAAGTGAATTTTCGAATCTCATATACGAGCTTAGTGTTTGTGTATATGTTTTCTCTCTTTCGAAAACGCCCAGATAAAATATCAAAATAAAGCTTTTCCATTTGAAGAAATGTACAAGTTCGCCAAATGTTTCCCTGCCTTTTGTCTATTCAAGTCATTTGCACCCTAAAGTGTATTAAGCCAGCTTTCTTCAATCTGTGGTTCGTGGATTACACGAGGTCCTCGGATCTTGCCCTTGCCTCCGAGATTAGCAAAAAAGGCGAAACAATAAAACTCAGATAAACTATAGCTGAAAATCGCAAAGCTTGGAAATTACATACGGCAATTTTCTATCACTTTTTCTATCAAGATTGATAATTTATGAAATTTAAAACAAGTTACCTTGCCTATGGACGCCGTCTTTCCAGACTTAGCAACAAAATAGAAATTTAAATTACTGTAAGTGTATTTATCATTACCAGAGGAGATCCATGCATTAAATAGTTGCGCAAGAAATAACAGGCTCATCGCTGTCATAAAATATGAGCAATATTTATTTCGTTTTTAATTAAAAAGATGTTAAAGATTATCCGAACTCTAATAGCCTTGAATTATTAAAACCAAATATAAATTTCCTGCTATTAACTTAATACCATATAAAATTAAATGAATTTCAGTTTATTGTATCTTTAAAATATATTAGTTGTAACACATACTTAAAGATTTCTCTCAGAGGGATCAAACGCAAGGTTGTAGAGTCAAAAGCTTGTTTTTATAGAAGGATACGTGAAAAATGTGCAATACCCTCACCGGGACTCGAACCATGGACCTCTGAAATACACATTGAGTATACTTTCACTGCACCACGAAGGCATGCTGGAAGGAGGAAGAATATACCTTAATAAATGGTGACTGTGGATTAGGGGACCTCAACGCCAAATCCTGGTGGTGAGGAATCATTGTCCACCACCTTTTAGTTCGGGCGCCGTTTGTAGAGTCATTGGATTTTTTTTAAACAGGAGACGTGAAAAATGTGGATTTATGCCGGAGACGTATTTGCACCTTAAAAACATATTTTACTCACAGAAATTTTGCAGTCAAGGGGCATTGGTCCACAGTAAGGAACTGATACCCTTATCTGCTTTCATTTTATCGAATTCTGGGCAAACGTTTCGGTTATTTGGCGGATAAAAGTTCCTTGAGTTCGTACATTCCCTACATATTACTTCCCAACAAATGCCTAGCCACTGAAAAAGAATCTTAGCTGAAGAATTAGACTTTTCACTCTTCATTGCACTTGGCTGGGAACTGCTCAACATCAAACAAAAAACGTCTATGCTGCCGACTGTTGATGGTCACATAACAGTCGCATAAATTATTTAAATTACTCGTATTCCATTTTAGAATATCTAGAACGTTTCCGAATATCTTACAGGCAGATATTAGCAGAAAGATGCTGTAGCATCATTTTGGGATGACGAAGTTTCGAAATTAATCCATAAATCCTAAAGATCTATGATATTGCTTCTTCCTAAGAGAGAAAAAATACTCAAATAATCTTTTCTTGAGAGATCTGAAATTTCTCTAGAACTCAAAAAAAAAGAAAAAATTTGTATAATTTCATATAAAATCTTTTTTAAATTCTTTTCGTTTTATTTCACAAAAAAGAGGGCTCCTAGGTATATGTGGCTCACCAGCATCCGAGCGGTATCGTCGCTGAACACTGTTAGTTGGCTCCGAGGTTAGAATCCCGCAAACGGGCTGGCTGCATGGGTATTTTCGTGGTTTTGCCCATGTGTAACGTGTATACGAGCCAGTTTACTTTAAAAAGTCATCCACGAAAGCATCCCTTCCTAAAGGCAGATAGCCCTCGAGTGCTTTTCCGTAATGTAATAAACCAAACCCAGGTATATGCAGAAACGTCGTTTGTTAATTGCATGCTCTTTGTACATATTTATTAAAGTTTTGAATTATATATATGACTTTAAAACTAATACAAGCATAAAATTATTAAGCATAGTAGTATTTAGGATAAGGTTAATTTATTGCACTCATAAAAATGAGAGATAAATCAAAGGTTTTTATGGCGTGTGAAACACATTGCCTTTAAAAATTAGTTTTACGAAACTGAACCTTTCTCCTTAACATATTGATTTATTTAGTTCTAAATTTTTACACTTTTCAGTTTAATATACACACTAAAGTATAATATATATTATTATTTTTTTACAGTTTCGAGTACTTTATTTAGTTTGCTAAGTAAATTAGACGGCATAGTAATTTTTGTATTGAATTGCATTAGATAACCGCAGCAATTAACAAAAATCATTTTAAATATAAAACCCTAAGGTTCTGGCCAGTGGTTTCGTATACACGAAAATACGAGGCCCAGTGCAGTATTGTCTGTTTAACAATATCTAAGCATTCAGTTGCAGTAATACATATCTCACTATGTTCTTCCGACTTATCGCTAGCTATTTTTTTTTCCTTTTTCCAAACCTTAAGATGGCCATGAAAGGGCATCAGTTTGAAACCTTCTCAGATATTATATCAAATGTTATACATGTTCTGAGAAAGGTTAGTTCTAGCACTTATACACGGTGTTTCGATGATCTGAAGAATGATTGGAAAAATTGTATGCACTTCTCTGGTGATTATTTTATAGGAGTGAAGAGTAGTACAATTGTCCTGTTACTTTATAAATGCACCTTGTATGTAAAAAATGAAAAAAAAACGATGCAACTGATTTATCGCTTTCGAAAATTTATGAGGTTTGATAAAGCCTAAGGCAAAAGTCTAAGCCAAATAAGCGTTGGCAGGGTCCGTTGGCATGCGCATAACGTTTATTCCGTAAGCAGCCCATAAGCATCCCTGTTGTCTCATTTGTATGTCCTTGGTATTGAGATTTTGGCGAAAAGAAAGAAGTACGTCATAGCTTATCTTAGAGGGCGTCCTTCTTTTTAAACATGCCGCCTGCTCGGTATCATGACGATAATGTATATTGAGCTTAGCATTTGAGGAGGAGTTTCGGTCAAATGTAAGATCAGATTTGTGCGGTGTAATTATATCAGATTTCAATGGCGTGCAAACACTTGGGTATCATTTGGAACACTCTGTTTTATAAATGGGATGATCAGGCACTGAAAGATTTGAGGGCGGAATTTCGAAGTCTCCCATCTCCTCTAACAATGTGTACGGTATGGTACTTGAACTACATCTCAGTTAACGATAGTTCATCAACGATTACTGTGCAGCTCTGTAGGGAAAATTCTGGTAAGAAACTTCAGATAAAAGGAATTATGTATTACGTTTTTAAATATGAAATTATTCGCAGGCATAACTTTGATTGTATTATGAACAGCGATATCAAGCATATAACAATTTTAGAAACTACTCGGTCCATATTTCCCGAGCATGAAATGACGGTAAATTTAGATGCATGGATTACAGAATTAACAGAAAGGGAAGAAAAATCAGTGCAGACTCTGTCAACTTTCCATAAGCTGTTGTGCGATATGCATGAAATGTATGAAAAGCAGTATCATTCCGACTTAATTGTCATTTGCAAAGGCGTGGAAATCCGTGTTCACAAATGTGTGCTTTCTGCCAGATCTCCAGTATTTGCTAAGATGTTCCAACACGACACTATTGAAAGCAACGACAACCGAATAGATATCACGGATATCGACCCTGATATCTTCGAAGAGCTGATGAAATTTCTTTATTGTGGTAAAATAAACCCGTCCAGTTATTCAAGGGCCCATGATTTGTATTATGCAGCTGAAAAGTATTTCGTATCGGATCTCAAAGATATGTGTCGTGATATAATTATATCATATTTGAGCATTACGTCAGCTGTCGAAACGTTAATTTTAGCTGATAAGCATGAGGATGAAGAAATGATGCAAAAAGCAATTATTTTTATTGCCTCTTCATTCCAGTACGTGAAGTCAACAGAACCGTGGATAATTCTTCTGCAAGAAAATTCCCTCTTAGCGACTAAAGTTTTAACCGTGGTTGCTGAAAAATCTGATTCCAAAAACAGTGACAGTTTGTGTGACATATTTGGTGTTCCATTATGAATCCATGATCGATATTTTTTCACTGAAAAAATCTGATCATCCAGGCTGATTCATATTGGGAAATTATGGGAATGAATGCAGTGTCATTTTTGTAAATTACAAATGTTTTTCAAACGTTTCGTGTTTAGAATACACTAGAATGCTTATTTGCAGTTATCTTGAGGTAAATTAAAAAGCAAGTGTTGTACTTCATTTTTTGTACGTAAGTGACGATAATTTAGCATTTTATTGGAATATGAGTGTTCTGTTTTCAAATTATTATGCTTATAGTTTAACTCGTGAATGTTTCCAAATTAAAAATGTTAAGAGAAGAACTGTTAAAAATATCCTTTGCATAGATATGATTTTCAATTAAGTTCGCATATTGCTTTGAACATGCTTGTCTTGAAAGTGAATTAATTATAGTTTTTAATGCATCAGTTTTTAATACCGTTCACAGAGATAGGTTTTTTTATCTAACGTGTTTGTTTAATTATCAATAAAAACCGTAATCAGTAATAAAAACCGTATGTTTATTCATTTGCTTTTTCGTTCTGTTCCTGCAATAAGGTAGAAGATTATGAATGATATTTGCATATGTAATTAGTATTTTTTGTCACTGCAATTTATAATTTTTTGGGGTAAGGTGCAGAATTGCCCACTTATTTGTTTGCCGCTTTTTACAAGAGTAAGAAGAATTGGATTGTTGTTAATTTTCTTTGACATTTTAAGTGAAAATAGGTCGATGTGTACATGGATAAAGTGATGGGGGTGCGCAATGCCATTTTTATGCAACTCTGGGATTTCTTTTAAGTGAAAATAGGTCGATGTGTACCTAGATGCCGAGTTAGTGCAATTCTTAAAAATGCGCCAAGCAGTGGGTAATTCTGCCGTTCACCCATTTTTTTAAAGAAACTTTATTATATTTCTATTTTGATAAACTCCTAGGAGAATCCACACCCTTGTCGATATCCACACCCTTGTCGAATCCACACCTTTTTTGTCTTTGTACTGGAAAAGTGTGCACTGCTTCACGCGTTTCTCAAAATAGCCAACTTGAAAATAGCAAGTCAAAGAATTGCACAAACTAGGTATCCATGTACACATCGACATATCTTCACTTCAGAGAATTGCCCTAACTTTAGCATTGCACACTCCCTTGACTTTACCCATGTATAACATCGATACGCGCCGTATCCAAAATCATTTGCGTCAAAGGTGTGGGTAATATTTCTTCAATTTTTGCACTTCTGAATTAAATGAAAAGTGTTATAAACAAACGTTTTAAGTGCAAATAATATAATTAGATTATATATATACAAATTCTTATTTTTATGTAAAGTTTTGATGGTTTTATTTTCATTCCGTCATGATTATGAAAATGCGTCACATCAATTTAAACTCTTTCCATTATTCAGAAACTTGTTTTTAATATTGGAGAAATCATTAAAAATGTTTGATCGTTCTCTTATGAACAAGCTTACCAGACGCCCCGCCTGAATCGTAAATGTTTACTGATGGGGGTCCGTACGTTGGATTAGTTTCTCACTTTGTACCTTTTTCTGTAAAATTTTAAAATTGCTGAATAAAAGGTACAGATTTAATTGTGGTCCGGATATAGCCGGAATTCCAGATTATTTACTATAACTTATTTCCGAGATATAGACTCACTAATCAGAAATGTTTTAAACCAAATTATTTTCAGGTTTACTTTTAGAACAAATATATTATTCAAGGGTCATTGAGAGGCCAGACATCTTATCCGAGAAACGTAGGTTTGTCTTGTACATAAAAAATTATTTTTACTATTTGTCTTGCACATAATCAGAAAAAAAATTGGGTGCTATTCCGTTTTGAGGACCGTAAAAAATCGGCAAACTCTTGTTGATGCCAGTGCTGCCAAAAATAATTGCGGCAACCCTAACGCAAGAAAGAAAGAATAATAGTAAATAACTATTTAAGATTATTGTTTTAATTTAGATGAAAGGTTAATTTCATATAATACTTTTATTATTATAATTTATATAAAAAACGGCTAAACATATTTGAATGGAAGAATAAGAGTAAATAACTATTTCAGATCATTATTATAATTTATATAAAAAAAGGCTAAACATAATTGAATGGATTCCTACATGGCTATTTCGCTACCGAGTTATCGCTAAAGCATAATTTCATCTCGTTGGTTGTTCAAACATAATTTTTTTATAATGAATGATGCATTTTGTTTGAAAACATTCTATTGCAGATTTTTCGTCATGGGCAAATCCCAAATTGTTAAAACCATAGGATATCAAAAAATGATTTAAAAATTAAACTACTATTTCAATGGCGTTTTAAGAAAAACGGAACTATCTAAACTTGCGCAATCTGAAATCAGCGCGTACACTAGATTTGGCGCTTTTGCGCATACATTTTCGTTGCAATTTTTTACGGCCGTCAAAACGGAATAGTACCAAAAATTAATATTGTAAAGTTTTTGTCTGAAGTATTCAGTATAAAAGAAGACAGCAAATAGAAATACCCGGTGAGAAAAAATTATTAATATGTTATAACTTGCTCCCATGGACCCGTTGCTGAATGTTCCTCTAGTTATGTGAGTAATATTGTGTCAGAATGAAGAACTTCGTTGAAGAGCATTAGTTTATATGTCGCAGAAACTTAAATATTATTCATTCTTATTACAGAAAACTACTTACAAAAGGTTTGGGTTTGATGACTATTGGTAAATGTTTCAAGGATACTTTATTTGCATAATTGGAAAACTTACCCATGTATTTAGCTTTCACGAACCATTCTTCTTCTTTCTAACATTTATTCATCTCCCACATTTGTTAAGGCATACTGCAAGTTCTAATAAAGGACTATATGTAGAACCTTTGTCTTCATCGAAATATTGCGCAGTTTATATGAAATCTTCAATTTTTAGCATTAAAAGTTGTTAATGCGCAAGTTCCCTTAAAAATTTACCTCCTGCCCCAGCCCCCAGAAAAGAAGCAAGTTTAATTTAGCAATTAATTTTTAAATCTATTGAAAAATAAAACAGATTGGTACAGTGACGTAGCTAAAGAGTGGCGGCCCTACCCGAAGGGCAGATTTTAAGGGGCAGCATTTTTCGCGTAAAACCTTCTTTGTATACGGATTCAGTACGGTTAATCATCGAGGCTGGTGAAGAATAATTAATTTGCCATATAGAATTGAGAAAAATACGAGTAAAAAATATGGAAAGAAATCACCACTTGATTTCTATAGGTACGTACTTTTATCATAGCTTTCTTTCTACTGGCGAAAATTTTGAATGCAAATTACGAATATTAAATAAATTATGATTACAGTGACATTAATGAGAAACAGTTCGTTATTAAGAAAGACGTATTCGGACCAGAAAAATCGAAATAAATACAAATGTGTGTTTTCATTCAAGAAATTTTTCTATACTGTCTACATTACAGATAAAATAATCAAATATACCTCTACAATGTCACTGATAGTTTTGCGAACTGAAAATAAGCAAAATAATAATTTTAAAATGTTAGAACTAAACTTTTTCATTAAAAATAAGTTTGTCTTTAAAAATAAGTTTCTGTAAAATTGTGTTTTAATTTATTTTATTTGGTATTCTTTTGACATTTTGTGTACCTAACTTGTTTGTGTATCAAGAGAAGCGATAAAATATGGGATCACAGCTGATTGCAAAAGTTCTTATATACACGCCACTGTTCTTTTGCATAGGTATCAACATTTACAATTTTACGAATGATACAGAACCACAACATCTCAAGCTGTTTATTACTTGAACAGAAACTTAAAATTCATTTAAAACATTATTTTTCAAATTGAACGTATTGTATTTAACTCTAAATCGTTTAACTGTAATAATTAAAAAATAATGCATTTTCGTGCGATGAAATTCGTCAGTCACGAATGAAAATATCTTTTCAAGGCTTACGCCTATCATTGGGTTTAGGTTGCAGTAATGATAGAATAGGGGTCAAACTAAAGAAGGCTATCCGTTGCAATAATAAGGTTAATCTTTGGATTATGGTAACTTGGCGATTTTTTGGCGAAACTTTGGCGAAAATTTGCCGTTTAACCCTTCTACAGCAACCTGCTAGTTTTGTTTTGGACTCCATTTTGTTTTCACGAAGTAAAGGCATTTTTTTTTTAACTCAAAATTTTTTTTCAGCAATCTGCTAGCCGAATTACGCTTATGCTACATCTTTTATGGAACAAAAGTGCTTAATCATGACGAATATTAGGTGCGAAATTAACAGAAAGTGCAGAATCGCCCACTGCTTGCCGCGTTTTAAGAATTGCACATACACGGTATCACCCATGTACACGTCGACCTATTTTTACTTAAAAAAACATCCCAGAATTGCACAAAAATGGCATTGCGCACACTCTTGACTTTATCCATGTACACTACTAAAGTCCTAGCTAGTAACCTTTATCGCCTTACCAAAATGTCGCCAAACTACTGTTACCATATTCCAAAGATTAGCCAATAATAATTTAATGCCTTTTTAGGCATTAAATTAGAGAAGTTTAATATAATTCATAAATTATTTATCATACATACACTATGTACATTAAATAAATATGATTTGCATAGATATTATTTTCCATAGATTCGCATATTGCTTTGCACAATCTTCGTCGTAAAAATGCATTAATTACAGTTTTTATACTTATTTCTATCAACAGCATTAATACTTACTTTTTTATTAAGGTATATGACGTTTTTTCCTTACGTATAAAGAATATGAATGATATTTGCATATGTAATCATTATCTTCTGTAATTGCAATTTATAATTTTTCTTAAGAAAATTAATTATATTTCTTTTTCATTTCCAAAATGTTTGTATTTCTGAATTACATAAACAATGTGATTTTACTAAATGAACAAACGTTTAGCTAACTTTAAAATTTCATAACTAATTATAAATAATATAGCTGGATTATATATATAAATTTTCATTTATATTTAAGGGTATGAGCATTTGATTTTCATATGATTATGAAAATTTGTCACATCAATCTACACTCTTTCTATTACTCAAAAACTTATTTTTTACGTTAAAGAAATCTTATTTAAGACGTTTTGTCGTTCTCTTATGAACAGGCTCTTATGAAGTCTCGTTTCAACCGAAATTGGCCCAGTTTGTCATTATGTTTGACAGCGTCAAGGTCAGTTTGTCATTTCTATTATGATCATCTGGTTAAATTTCAAACGTGCTGAATATGCTAGAAGTAAAAATAATGCAGTCTCTGGTAAAACGGCCATTTCGCAATTAAAAAAAAAAACCCCTCTTATAAACCTTGCTGCTGCCAATTTAAATATTTCGTATCTAGAGCTAAATATGCATAAATTTTTCTATTTAAATGCAATATTCATTTATAATTTAAGCCGTTACTACAAATTCTGCCTTCCGTTTCCTCACTGTAATGTAAATGGGTTAAGAGAGTGTTTAAGCTGAGATTTTTGGATTCTAATACGGAGCGAATTTGTGCCTTTCGAGGCCACGTTACTT